TCCGGAGGAAAGACGCGTGCTGCCTGCTTCGCGGCACTCTTTAACAAGCTTCGAGAAGGGTCTGATGTGCGGTATATAAAACGAACGTAACGTACTGAAGGATGAAAGAATTTTTAATTTAATCATTTAAATGCAGGTAAATATTCATACAATTTAACATTTAGAATAACTGTTTCAATTCTAGTCATAACAGCTGCAAGGAAAAACTCCAAAACATAAAATAACATTCCCTAGAGTCATAGAGCTGGAAACTGGTTGCTAGCATTGCCTACAGAAGCCACGCCCGATATTTTGCTGCCAGTTCCTTCCTAGTTGTCTTGTTACAGTGTGGAGTGTGGCGCTGGACCTGCAGGGACCCCTCTTTATACAAGAGCCCCCCCATCGCGTCGAATTCTCCAACAGTTCGGGCGGCCGGGTGGACTGCTCTGCACACGGCAGCCCCCCACCCGAGTTAGGCTGGAGTCTGGGGGACGGTGCCCCCGTGGCACAGGTCCCAGCCCTCCGCCTAGTGCACCCCAACGGGTCCCTGGTGTTCCCGCCGTTCCCCGCTGAGCACTACCGCCATGACATCCACACGGCTCTGTACCGGTGCAAGGCTCGCAACCAGATGGGACAGATCGTCAGCCGCGACGTCCACGTGCGGGCAGGTGAGTGACAGTCACATCCAAGAACACTGATGCAGCATGTACACAGACTGACCCTAGCTGCATCGAACGCTACTGGAGCCAGAAAACTTCTGACGTTTACTGACATTCTTAAATTCAAATTTTACATTTTTGATGTTCGGAAAGTTTATTTTAAAAATACCTTACAAATTCTGAAAGAACTGTAATAATTCTTTATATTAACTATAGAGAGTATATTAACAAAATGGCGTATGATCAATAACGAAGTATCATTACAAAGATGTTCAAGAACAGGAAAAGGCTCGGATACATGCTTGGCAAATACTTGTCTCCTTTAAGGATAATTTGGAAGGACAAAGAACTGAATTCCATTTTCTCCACTTTTCAAGGAAAAAACAGTCGCGTAAAATTGTTAATAATAAACTAAAATCCACTACTAAATAACTAAATTAAACAGTTTGATAAGTATGTTTAAAATTAGTTTTCTTTTTGGTTCACAGTCACTTTTTATAATTCCAGCATGAGAATAAGGTTGCATTAATAAGAACTGCGTGACCGAAAATTGATACATCTCAAAGAACATATTTTGAAGAGCTATAAGCCGCGAAATTCTGAACTCAACCTAGGTTCTGTAAGTCACTAAGTTTACATGTTCGAAATACCATGACGAACCTGCATAGGTAGCTATAGGACTAAAAAGAAAACATGACAAACTCACTAAACACTAGAGTAGCATGCATTCCTGGCAACTTAAAAATTAAAAGCAGGTAGATTATACAGTTAAAATATAAGTACGGGGGTGGGGGCATTCTTACTGACTAATTTCCCTCACATATTTATAAACGTCATTATTCCTGAAATATTACGAACTAAAATTGGAGGTTGATTTTACCCCTGTTCGGTTCTTCAGCATCTAGACATGTTTTACAATGGAAAATGCAAATACGTGACACAGACGAGTAATTTAATAGACGAGGTATTCATATATTTCCACCCGCATAAAGCGGAAATCTTTTGTAGAAATCTCTCCTCTTGTTAACTGCACATTGAATCTCCAGGTTCCATAAAAGCTGGAAATCGTTTTACCGCCTCTAGAACTACCAGTTTCTATAGAGCTGGTGTCAATTTTTAAAACTCTCATGCCCATTTTTCGAAACATGCTAGCAAACGTAAGAATCTTATTTTTATTTTTCCAACATAAAACTTATAATTTAAATTTCTTGAAAATACAATTTAAAGTACTCTATAAATACATACATTAAGCTTAGTACCGTTTCCTTTATTATGAAAGGCTGATAACAATATTTCACTTCTAATTCTGCCCGTAAGTTAACGACTTTTCATAATATCGTATATACTGAAGATGAAGGCTTCTCTTCCACGCCTCTAGCTCCTCGGTGCTTCCGGTCTCCGGTAAGAGAGCAGCACTTCCATCAGCACATGGAATTTTCTCATTTGAATCCTCAGAACAGTCTTATAGAGAATCAACGTTCTGTGAGGTATTACTGTGTACGGACATATCGGAAGGAACTGAACTGTCAGGGGCAAGGAAATTCTGCTGATGGCTTTCTTCTGGGTTGTAGCGCCGTGTAGTCTGGTAGACGTTCACCGATGTTTCTGAAGCACTTGCTGCCTCGATCATTACGTAGCAAGAGCCTCTGAAACGTTGCTAAGCTCCTACCAGACTACACGGCGCTGCAACCGTCTTCATACTTGCCGGCGTGAAAACCTCAAATCCGACAATGTCTCCACCATTAAATCCCTCAAATATAATTAATTATGCAGTTGATACAAACTACAGGAATATTAAATTTGCATGAGAGAAAGAGCTGGCAGGTCGAAGTGACTGACGGTCCCTACCTGGTTGCAGTGGTGAAGCAGAAATATGAGGTGCAGGTATACGACGAGTACGTCATCAGCGGCAACACAGCCGTGCTGCGCTGCCAGGTACCGAGCTACGTGGCAGAATACGTGATGGTCACCTCGTGGATCCAGGACGGCGCCGTCAACATCTACCCAAACACGGACACAGGTCATTTATGGCACGAAGTGCACAGTGGGGATATAATGCCATCTGGCAAACTGTAATCCCCAAAATCATTTTGGGGGTTTGTGCTACATTGTCTAAGATCATGCGCGCACGAGCGGTTTGAACCGCAGCGGTTTTTCTGCCGCAGTTTCAGTAGGAAGCGAGCGCACGTGTGGTAGTTTTACCGCTGCGGTTTTTCGATTGTAATATGCTTAATTTTCGATGCGATGCGGTAGCCGCACAGAGGCTGGCGGTTTCAATACGTAGAACACGAACCTGCGTGCGCGCGAAACAGCCGCACGGCGACCATTGTTTACCCAACCTTGGTGTAACTAAAAAGGAGAAAAGGCCGGCACTGTACAGTTACAGTGATGAAAACTAAAGAGAAACTATGGATAGAAGTCTGTGAAGCTCTACTGCCGAACTAGAACTAACTTGACAAAAAAATAGAAAGTATCTGAATAATTTCTTTGGATACATACGCAGGTCTTCATATAACTTGTGTAATTGGCCTTTCAACAATCTTTGACTTACAAGTAGAGGGAACCAAAAATTATTGATACGCTTTGCCCTTGCTCTTAGCAAAAAGCGCACACAGCTACAGTATCAACTAAATCCATGACTCTTCTTATTAGCCTAGAGCACACACCAACTGTCTCCATAAAATCCAGCTCCAAACTGAAAAGAAAACGCAGACAATGCGTTTATTTCACCGTCAGTGCGCACAGCCAACAACAATCTGCGGTTGAGGTTGTTCTACCGCTGTGGCGATAAACCCGCTCGTGCGCGCTAGCCCTAATTCAATTCGGGTGCGTCTGAGACAGTTATTACCACCATTTTTGTAATAACCTCCTCGTGGAGAAAGCAATTAAGAGTGTCTGACATCAATGAGCTCAGAAGAATACTTGTAAATAAGAGAGATGTGGTAACCGGAGTGCTCCATAGTTTATACTTTTCCCCATATATTATCAGGGCGATCAAAGCAAGGAGGACGAGATGGGCGGTGCATGTAGTGCGCATCAGAACGACGAGAAATACCTATAAAATTTTCGTTCGAACGCCTGAAGGGAAGATCACTCGGACGACCTGGGGGTAAATGGGAGTAGAATATTAAAATCGATCTTAGGATAATACCGGTGGCGGGCTGTTGTGAACACGGTTATGAACTTTCGGGTTCCATGAAGGGTTCAGAACTTCTTAGCCTTCTGAGCGTACTACTGGCTTATGCTCCATGTAATACGTTGCATAATAGAATTTTAATTTCTATAAAAAGACTCATCATATGATGATTTAGTACATAACAAAATACGGCCTAAACTGGAATTAATATCTTCAACTCTTATCAGAGATGAGGAGCCAGGATAGCTCAATCAGTATAGTGACCAGCTATGGGCTGGACGACTGGGGTTCGATCACCGCCGGGGGCAGAGGTTTTTTCCTCTAACCTCTGCATCTAGACTGGTTCTGGGGCCCACCCAGCCTCCTATGGGTACCGGGGTCCTTTCTCGGGGGTAAAGCATGGCTGGGACGTGATGCTGACCACTCACTCCCCGTCTAGTGCCGAGGTCAAGAATGAGTAGGAGCTATACCTCCGTTACCCCCAAACGACCTACATGGCAAGAGAGAGACAGTTTTTTTTTAATGTTTACATGCATATTTTATTAGTAATGGTTAGGTTTTGTCCCATCTCTCATGCATCCTCCTGATAATATTCTAAAGCACTTCATTAAAGAAAGGTTTTAGACTTAAGAAAAATAAATTGAAATCTGATATGCAGAAAACCAACTTTTGTGACATCTTGCATTATTAAAGAAATGTTTGAAACTTGCATAACACTGTTTTAGCAGCTGCAATAAAGCTTCAGAAACCAGCATAAAGATGGTCATTATGAATATGGGGTTATCAGCACAAATTTTGAAGTCCCTACTGCTTGCTGCAGGTGGAAAGTATGTGGTGCTGACAAGCGGTGACCTCTATATCTACAATGCAGGGCCGAGTGATGGCTACAAGAGCTATGCCTGTAGGACAGTCCACCGACTCACAGGGGAAGTGCATGCCAGCACATATCCAGGTCGCATTATCATCACAGGTAAAACTAATGCCACACAATGGTCACTAAAGATTGAATATGGGCTTACAGGAAATTACATTTATTGTTTAAAATTCTTTTTCATAAACTGCTTTCAACATGATCTTTCAGAAGTGACTCCATGTAGATGTAATAAGAAGTACGTTTTAAACTAACCATAACAAATTTGTGTTGACAACAAATGAAATTCCTAATGTGTGAACATAAAGAAGGGAATCCAAGTAACTAATCTTCTTTAATATTTGTCACATGAATGAATGTAAGGTCTATGAACACACAATAGACCTTGTACTGCAATTTAGCATAATATCAGACAGATCTGAAGATTGACTGACTAACCCTTTGCATTCTATAGATCTGGATCACAAGGTTGTAAAACAAATGAAGATAAAACAGGCACTTACAAGTAAAATAAACAAAAGCACACTAAAAGAAGAGCAACGAACTTAAATTTATGTACCACATATGAACACAAATTCTGTACACCTGCCCATATAGAACTAAAAAATTTGCTAGTAATTGTTCAACGTTTTCAAACTCATCAATAGGGTATATCAAGTTCTGAGTGAAAAATAATTGTCATGATGCCTTCAGTGCAACTAGTTAACTATTTGCATGGTTTTATTCCTGTTCTTTATTGTACTGTAACTGCTTATGGAAGTGGAGTGTTCTATTTTATCACTTGTAGGATGGCCTCAGTTGCTTCACTGACCACACTTAAACCATATCCAGTACTTGTCACAGCTTCTCTCACTATACCAGTTACAAATTTATTAAAATTTCTGTATATCTGTACCCAATTATAGGTCTGTCTGTCTGTATCTCTCCCCCTAATATTATTATTTAACATCCAAAAATTGATTGTTTCCAAATTTGTATGAATAATATCTTCTATTGCTTATTTCCATTTGATAATGTCATATGGAATTAATTCTTTGGGGAAACTCATCAGACAGAAAATAGTATTTCATATTCAAAAGAAAGCCCCACTTAATGGTACCTGCACCCTGTCGTGGTGGTGGGGCTTGAGTACCTCAGTGACCCCAAGAGCTATACTGGCGGTAGCATAGCTACTGGTAGGGCCTCCCTAGCCAGACTGGTCAAGGGGGAGAGGTCAGACTAAGACAGGTGCCCTGGTCCTCCAGGTTGGGGGTTTGTCGCAAGGCTAACAACCTTGCACCGTAAAAAGGAAGATGTTTCGAAACCTCAATCAAAACCTCGGACAGGATAGACCTAACAATAGGACCGAATGGAAGAGAAGAATTGAGGAGGCCATGGAATGAATATGGACCGGAGAGCCATAGAAGAAGAAGATTCAAAAGAAAGTCATTATATTAATGGCAGGCACTAAAAGGAGAGCCTCATGCAGGGAATTGTTTAAAGAAATTTAATATTCTTCCACTAGCCAGGAAAGTCTTTCTCTCTTTATTATTATTTGTAGTGGACAACATAGACAAATTTCAAACAAACACAAATATCCACAATATAAGTACAGGATACAGATATAACCTTCATTCGCCAAACACTAAACTCAGCAAATATCAAAAACAGGTATACTATACTGTAATTAAAATATTCAACAAACTTCGTCCCACTATAAAAAGTCTGGGTCACAATACAAAGAATTTTAAGCCAGCACTAAAAAAAGCATCTCCTATCCCACTCCTACTCCAAAGGATAATTTGTCCCAACCAGAAATTCTAAGCTATTATAAATACAAATAAGCAATAGTGGTTATGGTTTCATGTGAAATTATTTTTGAGGTAATACTGTAGTTGACTGTAAATTACTGTCATAACCATTTAATTTATATTTGTATTAGAAATAAGTATTGTATTTGTGCTATGACACATTCTACAATCTTAATTTGAGCCTATGAATGGTCTATGGAATGTAGGTGAAATTAATTCTATTCTATTGTATTCAGGCTAAGTGAAAATATAAGAGATTTACTAACTGCTGTACGATGGAGTAAGCGTCAGAACTGATATGTTCAATTCTGTAAAGTTTATAATTTAAAAATACTATGAGTTTAAAAATTTCTGTGGTATGATTCATGGTTTCAACAATCATAAAAGGCTCTGAAAGATTTCAAGCTGTGAGTCATCACAGACTTAAAACTGATCTTCCCAAATTTAAGTCATACATACCCGTGCACTTACAGCTTCACTTCCTCATTAGAATCCCTCCATTTTCATCATGTGACAAATTTCTCTATCATTCTCCATGGACGAAGTAAAAAGAACCATAGGATCTCAAGTTTGGTTGTATTCATGTAGTTCTCTAAATACCAATGCTTAAATTTAAAAAAAATGGAATTTTTCTATGACTGGTAATTAATATGTTTATTCTTTGAAGAATCAAAAACTGTGCTTACTTTACTTTTAAAATTAAAAAAATATCTCCTTAACTGATACTTATATGACTGGTATCAATGATTTGTAAATAAAATTATTATTGGTGGCAAGTGCAACTTAATTTTATACTAATAAGCAATGCAGTCATATTAAAGATGACTTTGGAATAAAATCTGTGAAGATTTAGTTAAAATAACAAAAAACACTTCCGATATACAAATTATAATTTAATTTAATTTCTCAATTATTTGGTGTTTGGTAAAAAGGGCGTAAGTCGATCTAACTTACCGTTAGCTTAGGTCCTTCTTGCACAAGAAAGCTACTTTCAGCGAGTGTATATTTGCATACGTAAATATATCACTTCGCATACACATACAGGCCAGTAAACGTCAACCAACTTTGTTAATTTTTAGTTTTATGTTACTTTTAATGCAACAGCAAGATATTTGTAAATGTCTGGGCACTCGTTCAAAACTTACCGATACCGCCAAAAGTGTAAGATATGCCGA